CTTAATATACTTATCTCCTAGAAAAAGAACACTTTCTTCTATTATAAGTCTTAATATACTCATCTCTTGAAACAGAACTACTTTTGTCTATTATAAGTCTTAATATACTTATCCCTTGAAACAGAACACTTTCTTTTATTATAAGTCTAAATATACTTATCTCCTGAAAAAGAACACTTTCTTCTATTATAAGTCTTAATATACTCATCTCTTGAAACAGAACACTTTTGTCTATTATAAGTCTTAATATACTTATCCCTTGAAACAGAACACTTTCTTTTATTATAATTCTTAATATACTTATCTCCTGAAACAGAACACTTTCTTCTATTATAAGTCTTAATATACTTATCTCTTGAAACAGAACACTTTCTTCTATTATAAGTCTTAATATACTTATCTCTTGAAACAGAACACTTTCTTCTATTATAAGTCTTAATATACTTATCTCCTGAAACAGAACACTTTCTTTTATTATAAGTCTTAATATACTTATCTCCTGAAACAGAACACTTTCTTTTATTATAAGTCTTAATATACTTATCTCCTGAAACAGAACACTTTCTTCTGTTATAAGTCTTAATATACTTATCTCCTGAAACAGGACACTTTTATTACAAGTCTAATTGTGATTATCTTTCAAAACAGAGAACACCTTTTTTTTCTTTAAATCAATAGTTTACTTGTCATAATACTGAATTAACAGCCAGTGAAGAACTGTGTGGGAAGATGTGCTCACATAATAAAATGTGATTAGAATACAACAGTCGTGTGTTTGGTTCTTTCAATAACAATTTGATTGTAAATAGCACAATTCTTAGAAACAAATCATTGTTCTTTATATATATGTAAGTTGAACAGATTAATGGTATTTTAACACAAGTTTATATTTGTTTGTTAAAATAAACTGTTTGAATAAACTGATCAACAGAAATTGAAGCTTTGGTACAGAGGGAAATAATGCATCAATATATATATATATTTTATTATTTTGAGGAAAAACTCCCCCAAAACTGTTATTGAGACACTTTCATCCATATGAATCTATATGTTTCAATCAACAGCAAAACCAGATCAAACAAGCAAAGATTAAAAAAAAAATTATTGAGACAGTTTGTATGTGCTTTAATCAACAGCAGAATTGGAACAATGATGCGAAGAAAAACAAAAACTGCTATAAAAATCAAAAATATCAGCTGAAAAAAGTACATGTATCAACTATATGACTAATTTTAATACCATAGCTCAATCACCCTATTGGTTGTGATACATAGCTCAATCACCCTACTGGTTGTGATACATAGCTCAATTACCCTATTGGTTGTGATACATAGCTCAATCACCCTATTGGTTGTGATATGCTATACATTCATACAAGCTGGTATTAAGTGAGACAAGTACTTCCAGCTCAATCACATACCGCTAATGATATCCTACACATTAATACAAGCTAGTATTATGCGAGACAAGTCCTTTCAGCTCAATCATCCTACTGGTGGTGATATTCTATGCATCAATACAAGCTGGCATTAATCATACGGTTACCGGATCTACTCAAGTGGCATATCACGTACCCAACAAAGTAAGCAAGAGATTAGTCATATGATAACATATGCATATCTTCACAAAACTTTGCAGACCATCAGAAACATTACAAAGCTTTTGTACACACACAAAAAATCTGATTTTATAAGTATTTTAACTAAAGATTTATTCATGATTTTGCTCGTGACTTTTTGCACTCAGAATGTTGGCTATCTGATGCAAAGAACTTTTAATTTTCATTTGTGTAATCTCTGAAACCTTCTAAATATATATCAAACGTTTTTCTTTCAGTAACTCTTTATATCTTATCTGTTATTCGCTCTACTATAACAGTACAATTGACTCTCGAAGATGTAGACAAGTAATGAAGCAAAATAAAATGTATACTTATGTTAGTACTGACCACAAAGTACTTATGTTCACAGTTTATACTTCTAACCTTTTCACATCTATCAGTGATTTACCACTTGTACCATTATCATTTTCATGGGCCACACTCCTGAGAACAAACGAGCACGTTCCTGACACCACTTATCTCCTGCTTCAAGAATGTAACAGAATTTATTTGCTTGTTTACATGACTGTACTTGCAAGAGAATTGCTCAAATAGAATGGCACTTTAAATGTTTATGATACGACTTAAATCTGATCCCCCAAGATTCGAAGATATATAGGTGTTAACTTTCAAACCTTCAGAGGTGTGCAAAATTTAGCAGTATAAGTGTACAAGATAACTAGTTTGATGCTTATAAGCATCCTATTTGTCAATGCTTACACATCAACAAATAAATACCCAGCTTCTAGTAATATAAGAACTGTCCATTTTGTGTTTGTTAGCATTTCTATCTTTGTATCTTATTTTAGTTCATCTTTGTGTACCTCTAACTATCTAAAGTAAGTAAACATTATTTATATTATATATGATATCTCTGTTCAATAGTTTTAGCATATAGTTGTTTATCAAAATCTAGTGTAGCTGTTTCTGTATTGTAACATAACATGTACTGCTTCTGACACCTATGATACACACTGCAGGATATACTGTAACATACATGTATTTCTTTTAGTAAACTACTGTTCTTGCTACATTTGTATTCTGTGATACAGTCATAAATACATCAGTGCTTAGCACCAATTACTATAAGTAAGTAAATATTATTTCTGATATACATAAGAATAAAAAATATTTTCTCGAGAGAAAGCAGAGTTCCTCTGAAGTTGAAGAATTTGAGTCTACTCTTTTATTGCCTCTGAGAGAAGTCACATATAAAAGTAAATGGCCAAAAGATCTTGATTCAGCTCTTGTTGATTCTATCTTATGGAAAGGTGAGGATATAGCTGGTGAAAGACCTTTATCAAATGAGGATGTTCCTGAATCACCCAGGCTATGTACATCACACAATGAACCAATAACAAAGAGAGCCAGGGCAGGGAGAAGTATGGGAAGGGGCAGAGCTGGTCCCAAAAGTGGGACCGTTCCTTCCCAGCAGGAAAAGCCCCTTTCCTACAATGATACCTGGACCTGGGTGGAAGTCACAGAAGGAGAACAAATTCTGTCAGCCACTTTTCACAGAGGTGAACCTATTTCCCGATAGGTTACCTCTGCTAAAAATGTTTTTTATTTTTTGGGCTCTCTTTCACAATGCAAGTTTTACAATTAATTATACCCAAAACAAACATATATATGCTTAAAATAAACACCACAGTAGACCTACAGTTCCAAAAAGAGACTAAAATGGACTGATGTTACAGATGAAGATAATTTAGCATAGTTATGGGTCTTGCCTTATCCTTTTATTTTTTACTACTGGTTTACCTATTCTCTTTTTCATACTCCTGAGTTTACTAAAATCTCATTCGTAGATTCTTACATTTCAATAACAATACTCATGCTCTTCCTAAATCTGCTCCTAACTATGATAAACTTTTCAAAGTAAGGTCTATCATAGACCTTCTTCTGAAATCCTTTGTATTCTACATTTTATACCCAACATTTGTTCATCTCCTGACAAGGAACTATCAATAGATGAACAAATGTAGAATTGGTTTCCTCCAGTGTCTACCTAAGAAACCTATCAAGTGGGATATCAACTTGTTGGATCTGGCAGAAGCTTTGAGTGGATACTGTCTTAAGTTTAAAATCTACATAGGCAAAGAGGAAGAAATGCCATCTGGGAGTCTTGCAGACAACATTATGATGGGACTAATAGACAACTACAATGGACAACACCACAATGTTTTCATGGACAACTTTTACACTTCCTCTTGTTTATTTGACAAATTATTGTCTTTTAGAACATAGATTTGTGCAGAAAAGATTGTATTTCCCATAAGAACTGATTTCAACAAGCCTACAGAGGGGAAGCATGATTTATTAAATGTGGAACTACGACAGTCCCACCCTAGTAATATGACAACTGTGAAAATAAAAGGGAGGATACTGAAGTTACAAAACCTCAGTTAGTTGTGGACTACAACAAGTATATGGAGAGGTAGGGAATGGACCTGAATTATCAACACGTAAACTACTTATTTTACTGGATGAAAAACAATAAAGTGGTATAAGAAACTGTTTTTTCAACTTTTAGATTTGTCAATTGTGAATGATTACATATTGTACAAAATGCAAACCAACCAGCTGGCATAGCCCCTAAGGCATTCAGAATGGATCTGATCACTGCTGTTGTTCAACCTTTACTTCAAAGCAGATCAGGTCCTTCTCGTATACCACTATCAAAAACTGTGTAGGACTCTTCACTTGTGAGACTCACTCTTGGCAGGCATTACCCAACAGTTGTTGAGAGAAGCCAAAGGAATAGATGCTGACTCTGCCTAAACCCTATCATCACAGGTATCCTTTATGGGGCATGACACAAGGTTTTAGTGTCTTACATTCAAAATTTTATTAAACTGCTTTTTGTTTATGTTATACCAATTAATATGGCATAAACACTTAGTTAATCATCCATATTAACATTGTATATAAGTTTTAAGTTCTTAATTTTACAAAGAAATATTAAAAAATCATGAGTTTCCCCTAGTGCGACCCACGTGACACATTTTCTCTTAGGACGTCATCTTCCCTATTTTATCCACCACCCCTCAAAAAAGTATGAAATTAAACGTAAGTTACTCTCAGACAAACTATAATTTTTATAGCCTTCAATTTTGTTTTGTTACAGAGCTATCTAACAGGAAATCAGACCTCTCCTGCCACACCTACCTTTCACATCCTCTCTCTCAGACTTCGTTACTAGTTCTCTCTTATGTTATATTACCTATAACCAATAGAAAGTCAAGGTTTTGATCTATTGAATGACATATTGTATAACATTATGTTAAAGGTCAATTTTATTCAGAGTACCAACATCGTTCCCTTGAAAAAGCTAATAAGTAGCTTGGACGAATTTGTAAAGGCTCTCGACGCATAGTTAGAAAGACAGAAAAATATTTAGAGATAAGGGAATTTGTCTACTTTTTGCATGTTATTAGTCAATATTCTTTGGTGCATTATTTAATTAAATAAAAAATTATTTAATGCCTACTACCATTAGTATAAAATATATATGCTTAAGTATAATCGACAGTTGACAGCAAGAAAAAAGAAGATTGGGTAACTAATTTATTTCCAATTTTTCATGTTTATCATTTATGTATAATTGTAAAATTAACTAAAATGTAAAAATATGGATCCTTTTAGGTTAGTTAAGATAAGATTACATAAATACCTAATAATATTATAATAAAAATATTTCATAAGGCACTCACATGAGCAGCTCGTGGGTAATGTAATTTGATAGTGTAACATGAGCTGCATGTGCCAAGAGTGATTAACAACTTATTATGGCACATATAACAGTTAGACACAGTTCAAAGGGCAATAAAACAATAAAATAAAATTATAAAAAGATATATATACTGTTACGAGCTTAAGATTACTTAGAATAAACTAAGTTAGTTTCGTGTTACAATTTGAAGTCAATCTAGAAAAAAAATGGTAATTTAGATTTATTCAAATTTCTTTTCTGGCATTTACGAGGTCAGTCAAATTGACCGATCCCATCTTAAGATAGAATAGAGAAAATAACGATGAAATGTAAAGTTTTACTAGAAAAAAAATATTTAAAATGTATTTAGGGATTACACAAAGAAAATTTGAGATTTTTGAGACGACGAAAAGTATTTTTAATTTTAACATGAAAATTACTTTGCACATGGACTATTCAAAACAAATACTCAATATATTCAGGGACAAATCTTTATTTTATTAAAAATACTTCACTAAGAAAATGATTTTTTGGATGTGAAAGATTTATAATGTTAACTGAAAAACTGCTAAATTTTGTGAAGATATACACACACTATATTGAGAGTTAGAAGGATTAAATCAATCATTACTTGAAACAAGTACAAAGAGGTCACATGTTTGGTCAAATCGACCAACTCCGTGTTGAAAGAGTAAAAAAAACAAGATCTCCAGGAAAATTTGCTATACGAAACGTTAACAGTTAATAACCATGCAGGTTAGTTATCAAGTTAATAGTTTCTAATTTTAAAGTGACTTTACTCATATGAAATACTGGTTATAACTGGTTAACCCACTACATCACAAACAATGACTCACCCAATATATAGGTGGGAGAGGTGACACGCAGAAGCCGTGGCTCTTGTGACATAATCTCCCTGACTTGGTTACAAACAGCTAACAAACAGCGACAGAGAGCATGAATGTCCACTTCTCCCCAGCTAAAGGCTTCTTTGGCCCTTCTCATTCTTCCTATTCTATTTTCCAAGTTTTCTTTCCTGATTGGTCGTTCAAAGTAGCGTAATCCAGTGAGCATCTCATTGGCATGTGATCTCTAAAGAAAACTTGAGTCACTAAAACTGTTCCATTCAATCAATTGGATAATCAACATACTTGTTCTAATCAACACAATGAAATATTAATCCAACTAAAACAACAGATATAAACTAGTATGGTATCAATAAACAATTATTCACACAACTATTAATATTTATGTGAGTACAGAGTACTGTGTGGGCTGTGTGATTATAGAATGCTCCAATCACAGACAGTACCCTATATTCACACAACTGATAATCCTTAAACTCAGACAGAAACCTTTGTTCACAAAAATAGTAATCTTTAATCACTGTCACTATCCTACATTCATGCAGCTAGTAATCCCTAATCACAGCAAGTATCCTGTATTCACACAACTAATAATCCCTAATCACAGTAAGCACCCTGTACTTACACAATTAGTAATCCCTAATCACAGTAAGCACCCTGTACTTACACAATTAGTAATCCCTAATCACAGTAAGCACCCTGTACTTACACAATTAGTAATCCCTAATCACAGTAAGCACCCTGTACTTACACAATTAGTAATCCCTAATCACAGTAAGCACCCTGTACTTACACAATTAGTAATCCCTAATCACAGTAAGCACCCTGTACTTACACAATTAGTAATCCCTAATCACAGTAAGCACCCTGTACTTACACAATTAGTAATCCCTAATCACAGTAAGCACCCTGTACTTACACAATTAGTAATCCCTAACCACAGTAAGCACCCTGTACTTACACAATTAGTAATCCGTAATTAGAGCAACTATCCCGTATTCACAAAACTAGTAACCCTTAACCACAGTAAGTATCCAGTTTTCACACAACTAGTAATCCCTAATCATAGCAAGTATTCTGTATTCACACAACCAATAATCCTCAATCACAGTCATTGTCCTATATTCACAGAAGAATCAATTATTCACAAAATTAATAAATTACATCCACAATCAATAATCTATATTGACATAGTCAGTAAAGCTTTCCAAAACAACTAGTTACAATTTATGTCCAGGTGGTACAAAATTGGTTAACTGAGATTAGTACTTGGATAAGTGATATTAATACGCAGGTACCTACTCAGTTAACTGATGTTCATAGTAAGGTACTTATTAATACACAGGTACCTACTCAGTTAACTGATGTTCATAGTAAGGTACTTATTAATACACAGGTACATACTCAGTTAACTGATAACTGAGTAGGTACCTGTGTATTAATAAGTACCTTAGTATGAACAACTGATGTTCACACTAAGGTACTTATTAATACACAGGTACCTACTCAGTTAACTGATATTCACACTAAGGTACTTATTAATACACAGGTACCTACTCAGTTAAAAGATATTCACACTAAGGTACTTATTAATACACAGGTACCTACTCAGTTAACTGATATTCACACTAAGGTACTTATTACTACACAGGTACCTACTCAGTTAACTGATGTTCATACTAAGGTACTTATTAATACACAGGTACCTACTCAGTTAACTGATGTTCACACTAAGGTACTTATTAATACACAGGTACCTACTCAGTTAACTGATATTCACACTAAGGTACTTATTAATACACAGGTACCTACTCAGTTAACTGATTTTCACACTAAGGTACTTATTAATACACAGGTACCTACTCAGTTAACTGATGTTCACACTAAGGTACTTATTAATACACAGGTACCTACTCAGTTAACTGATATTCACACTAAGGTACTTACTTGGTTAAATGAGTCAACTGATGGTAACCTTTCAAATCTTTGCCTTTCACTTAGATGAGCACTCTTGCTTATGGCCGCTGTTCCTTAGAAATAAGAATAACCATGTGGTATTAATCAGAAAAACTGAATGAAATCAATCCTTTAAATAATAATAACCGTGTAATTTATCAGAAAATTGACACTAGCTTCATGAATGGAGAAGTAACTAATGTTTAGTGAGAAATCTCTCCTAAGCAGAATATTAAAATCACATCTTTTCTATGAAACACCTATATTTTCACTACAAACAAAACAAAATTTGAAAAACAAAATATCACAAGTTCCAATAGAGAAAAACATTTTTTTAGCTTATCCTAAGTCCTGACAGATAAAAATAAATACAAGTTTAGATTAACATAAGTGCTGACAGATAAAAAGAAATACAAGTTTAGATTAACATAAGTGCTGACAGATAAAAAGAAATACAAGTTTAGATTAACCTAAGTCCTGACAGATAAAAAGAAATACAAGTTTAGATTTTCCTAAGTCCTGACAGATAAAAAGAATACAAGTTTAGATTATCCTAAGTCCTGACAGATTAAAAGAAATACAAGTTTAGATTATCCTAAGCTCCAATAGACAGAGAGAGAGAGAAAGAAAGAAAGAGAAAAAAACAGAAATGTTCCAACAGCATAAGAGAATAAGTCAAAAAGAGTTGAGTTCCAAAAGAGAGAGAGAAAAAAAGAAGGTGTGGATTATCTTAAAATTTAACATGGAAAAGTCTGACTTACTCTTAAGTTCCAAAAGAAAAAAGAGAAGTGTTATATATACTTGTTATTTCAAGAAAATTAGAAGAGGCATTGCTTATTTTACAGCTTAGAGAGAGAGAAAAAAACAAAAAACATTTAAATACATTACTGACAGGATAAAACAAAATTCCTGACATCAATATTTCTTTGCGCGTAACAACTTTATTTGTATACTGTTAGGAAATATACACTCTAAATTTTTCAGTGGACAACATGATCCATCATCTTCAGGAGATCATCTCATAGTTAGTAATAAGTTGCAGCACAACATGATCCATCATCTTCAGGCAGATCATCTCATGGTTAGTAATAAGTTGCAGGACAACATGATCCATCAGCTTCAAGAGATCATCTCATGTTTAGTAACAAGTTGCAGGACAACATGATCCATCAGCTTCAAGAGATCATCTCATGTTTAGTAACAAGTTGCAGGACAACATGATCCATCAGCTTC